CTCAATGAGATATCGCCTGATACCTATCAGAGGGGCTAGTATCAAAAAAACAAAAGATAACAAGTTTATGAGGATGCAGAGAAAAGGGAACCTTTGTACATTGTTGGTGGGAATATGAAACGGTGCAACCACTATGGAAAACACAGGTGTCCCTAAAAAAAATTAAAGTAGCAATAGCATCATGATCTAGCAATTCCATTTCTGAGTATTTATCCATAATTCATTGCAGCATTATTCTCAATAGCCAAGATACGGAAACAATTTAAGTGTCCCACCAACAGATGAATGCACAAAGAAAATGTGGTATATACACACATACAAAGGAATATTACTCAGCCTTAAAAATGAAGGCAATTCTGCTCATGTGGAACAAGGATGTACCTTAAGGACGTTATGGTAAGTGAAATAAACCAATCACAGAAGGACAAACACTATATCTAAAATAGTCAAGCATGTAGAAACAAAGAATAGAATGCTGGTTGCTAAAGTTGGTGGGGGAGAGGTAAGAGAGGGTACTTGCTACTCATTGCATATACAGTTTCAGCCATGTAAGATTATGAACAGATCTGTTGTACATCACGATACCTATAGATAACAATACTGTATTGTGCCCTTAAAATTTTGTCAAGAGGGTAGATCTCATGTTAAGTGTTCTTGCCACTTACAAAAAAAAACCTTACTGATTTTCTCAGTATACCTGCATGATCTTTATAGAATATTTGCAAGACATTTTAAGCACGATAAAGAAAATACAAATCATCCTCAATCCTACCAGTAATTCCAATCACCAGAAAAACCCACACATGCCATTTTAAAAATTGTATGTTTCTAGACAGCAGCATGACACTGATTATCGCCATGATTTATTGAACACTTACTATGTGGTGGACACTGATTTAATGGCTTCGCATGTAATTACTTCACTTAATTCTCAAAACACTCCTGTGAGGTAGGAACTACTATTAACCGCACTTTGCACATGAGGAAACACAGGCACTGAATTTAGAAACCTTATAAGACTACCCAGCTAATAAATGGTGGAGTCCGGGATCAGAATGAGATTGATTCTACTGTACCTACATCAAAGAATTCAATTTTAGATAAACATATTTCATAAATCAAAAAAAAAATGTTAAAAAGTATATAATAAAAGTATCACTCCCATCTTTGTCTCCATGTGCCCCATGTCCCCACTGTCACAGGTAACCACTTTTATCAGTTTTTGGAATAGTATTTAAAAGTTTCTTATGCACATACAACCAAATACAAATACATTGTTTATTTTTGCTTTGCTTTTTAAAAATAAACTTTATTTTATTTTATTTATTTGAACCTTATTTTATTTTAAGTTTATTTATCTATTTTGAGAGGGTTGGGGAGGGGCAGAGAGAGAGAGGGAAAGAGAGAATCCCAAGCAGGTTCTGCGCTGACAGTGTGGAGCCCAACGGGGGACTCGATCTCACAAACCATGATCCTGAGATTCTGGAATAGCCTTCAAGAGTGAGATGCTTAATGCACCGAGCCACCGGGTGCCCCCTAAATAGACTTTATTTTTTAGAGTTTTAGGTTCACAGCAAAATTGAGTGGAGAGTACAGACAGTTCCCATATACTGCCTGTTCTCTCATATGAACAGCCTCTCCCATTGTCAACAACCCCTACCACTGTGGTACATTTGTTGCAATTGATGAATCAACATTGACACATCATTATCAACCAAAGTCCATAGTTGACCTTAGGGTTCACTCTTGGTGTTGAATGTTTTATGGGTTTGGATGAATTTATAATGACATATATCCATTACAATAGTACCACACAGAATAGTTTCACTGCCCCCCAAATTCCCTGTGCCCTGCCTAGTCGTTCCTCCCTTCCCCCAACCCTGATATTTTTATTGTCACCATGGATACCCCTTTTCTAGAATGTCATATAGTTAGGATCATACAGTATGCAGCTTTTTGAGATTGGTTTCTTTCACTTAGTAATACATATTCAAGTTTCTTCCATGTCTTTTTCATGGCTTGACGCCTCATTTATTTTTGGTGATGAAAAATATTCCATTGTCTAGATATACCACAGTTTACTTATCCATTCATCTACTGAAAGATATCTTGGTTGCTTCCAGGTTTTGGCAATTAAGAATAAAGTTGTTATAAACATTGTGTGCAGGTTTTTGTGTGGACATAAGTTTTCAACTTGTTTGGGTAAATGCCAAGGAGGGAAATTGCTGGATGATATATATGGTGAGAGTGTGTTTCATTTTATAAGAAACTGACAAAATTTCTTCCAATGTAGCTGTCCCGTTTTACATCCTGACCAGCAACGAACAAGAGTTCGGTTGCTCTACATCCTTATCAGCATTAGGTGTTGTCAGAGGTTTGAATTTTGGCCATTATAATGTGTAGTGGTATCTTACTATTTAATTTACTTATTTTTTTAAGTAGTCAGACACTGAGGGAGGACAGCAAAGGGAAAGGATTCTCATAGGAAATACATTCACAGCATACCTCATTTTTAAAATATGGTGTTAACTACAAACTCTTGTTAAAATATTTTTGTGGAAATCTACTTCTTGTGTTTTAAGCATTCTAATTTGTTATACGACTCTGTTAATTATTGTTTTAATTTGCAATTCCCTAATGACATATGATATTGAAAATGTTTTCATATGCTTACTTGGCACTTACATATCTGTGTCAGTGATGTGTTTGTTCAGGTCTCTTGCCCATTTTTTAAATGGGCTCATTTTCTTATTGTTGAGTTTTTAAAGTCCTATTTGTATTTTGGATAACAGTTCTCTATCAGATATGTCATTTGCAAATATTTTCTCCCAGTCTGTGACTTGTCTTCTCATTTTCTGACTGTTCTTTACTTTTTTTTTCTTTTTAATTATAAGTTCTAGCACAGGGTACACATTTTTCTGGATCTTACTTCTTCACTTAATATTATATGTTGGGGGCGCCTGGGTGGCTCAGTCGATTTAGTGTCCAACTTCAGCTCAGGTCATGATCTCACGGTTTGTGGGTTCAAGCCCCACATCGGGCTCTGTGCTGACAGTTCGGGGCCTGGAGCCCGCTTTGGATTCTGCGTCTCCCCCTCTCTGCTCCTCCCCTGCTCACCCTCTGTCTCTCTCTCAAAATATATAAAGATTAGAAAAATTTTTTTAAAATATTGTATGTTGGAGATTTTTTCATTTGAGAATGTAAGGAACTCATCCATTCTTTTTTCAGAGGCATTCTATTCCATCGTATGGCGTTATCTTGACCAGCCTCTTACTGAGAAACACTGGGTTTTTTCTCATCTTTGGTTAAGGCAATGTTGCCATGAATAATCTTGTATGCACATCATCTGGTATGAGTGCAGGTGTGTCTGTAGGAGGCAGCTTACATTTCTTCACCGTGTTGAGCTGTGTATGATTATGGCATTTTGGCAAATCATTTACTGCATGCCCAATATTGTGTGGTTTGCAGGGGTTTCGTAACTGAGGTTGGGCTGTGGTCATAGAAGTCTCTACTCTTCAGAGATTACCTGGGGCTCCAAAAGAACTTCACACTCTGCTCTGAAGTCACACCGACTTTCTGGTTCCTTCTCACCTCTGCACTTTCACACAGGCTGGACTGCTTGTCCACACTCTTCCCCTGGCAACTCCAGCTCGTCTCAGCCTAAATGCCACCTTCTCAAAGAAGATTTCCTTGTCTCCCCTAAGTGATATTGCTTCCCTCTCTTGCTCATCCTCATAGTTCTCTAGATCGTCACAGCTCTCTAGATCTTGCCTTTGTATGACCTACAATAACCCTAATTCGTGTATATTTAAATGGTGATCTGTCTGCCATTGCTCCATGATGGCAGTGACATTAGTGACGTTTGTCTTATTCCATCATATCACTGACATCCATCCCAGAGGTTTAAAACAGTACCTTCGTAGAATGAATGAACTTCAGATCATTAAGCAACTGTCTTCTCATTCTTCAGGTCAATTCCATCTTTCAAAAAAATGTTTTTTAAAAAACGTTTTAACGTTTTATTTATTTTTGAGAGAGAGAGAGAGAGAGACAGAGTGTGAGCAGGGGAGGGGCAGGGAGAGAGAGGTAGACACAGAACCTGAAGCAGGCTCCGGGCTCTGACCTGTCGGCACAGAGCCTGACATGGGGCTCGAACCCACGAACCGTGAGATCATGACCTGAGCTGAGGTCGGATGCTTAACCCACTGAGCCACCCAGGCGCCCCCAAAAATGTTTTAAAATTTTAAAGTTTTGCTTGCGTTAAGTCAGGTTTGAGAAAAAGCAAACACTTCAGCTGGCTCTGGGTGGGGGGACATGACACTTTCAAAGAGACAAGCCAAACAGTAGCCACTGGAGTCAAGAGAGCATCAACTTATATGTTTTCCAGAGACTCTTAGATTGACCATCAACTGAAACAGTACCTGGGAACTAGCCAGCATTAGTTTCCAAACATCTTTTGTATACCAGTCCCTTGTACATGTTACAGCTCAGTTCTAACGACTGGGGTTGCCATCTTATATTCTGGGATTCTGATTGCTAACCTCTGGTAACTTCTGAATGGGTACGTTAAGAGAAGTGAAAACACGTGTTATGGCCATATGGACTGGTGACTAGAAAATATTAGGAGGAAAAACAAATAGAATTTTGCCTCCAAATACCTATATTCTTCTCAGGAGAGGGAAGGGAGTCACATATCCAATTCTTGGGTGAATCCTAACCTTCTAATAAACAGCTGGATGCAATGTTGTAATTGTCATGACACGCAATCCCTCATGAGCTACGTGCAATGCATAAAGGGATTCCAAGAACAGAAAGGATGACATTTGTTGTTATGAAAGTTCATGTTTCTGAATATTAGGGAAAAAAATAGGCCCCAAAAGATGCTGCCAAGTCTCCTGTGCATATTTTCTGTATAAACTTACTTATTCTGATTCTGGACCAATGGCATTTTCTTTTTCCAAACACCTTTTCTTTCACTTAGCAAAAAATGACTCATAAGCTGCTCCAGAAGAGGTCAATGATTTGGTTTAATTACTTGTCCAGGGACATGAGGAGAAGCTCAGGTAAATAAAGAGTTGGTTTTCTGTAAGTGAGTAAGCATGCATATGTTAACATGATCTTCCCTCCCCCAGAGGCCCTAAACGACAGAAGAGGGAAAAATAAAAAATAAAAAAAAAAAAAACACAACTCTGCCGATCAGCATTTGTATTTCAAAGATTAGCAAGCTACTTCTTATTAGAGCTCCAGAGAGTCTGGGAACTTCAAACGAGATAAGATTTGATATTGACAAACGGTGTGCTTCTTCCCAGGAAGATCATTTCAAAATGTACACGACTTCTTTGGCTCTGCACATGCATTCCCCATCACAAGGCTATAGAATGCACATTACAGGGCACTAAATGACGTTTTTATAACTCACTTTATATGTAACCGAAACTACCGCGGGTCCTGTATGTGTTCCGCGTTGGTGGAGGCAGTGTCTGGGTGCGATGGAGAGTGTCCATTCGGGGGGGCAGGCAGGTGTGTGCCTCCTTCTAGCCTCCTAAGGTGGGACCGTGGGCCGCTTTCACCGCCTCTTGGAGATTCAGTGTTTCCATCTGTAAAACTGGATTGTTTGCATGGATTAAAGAAAACAATGCACATAAAGTGTTTACCAGCTTATCTGGCATATAGTTAGCATACAATAATCAGCACCTGTTCTTACTGTTATTATTACCAGGCACTTCTTCAGTGCCTGATATGGCCCCTTGCCCTCAACAATCCAAAAATCCAGTAGCAAGACAAGGCTGGGCAAGTATGAGGATAACTAGAAGTACAAGGCCCTGCGCGATCCCTGCCACTGATTCTTTGAATGAGGTAATAGCATATCTTGCCACAAAGTCTGAAATTTTTATGTAATAGCAAGTGGAACAGAATCATGCTTTCATATATTTTGCTGTGTTATTTCAACTATTAGAATTATTAAAAATTTTGCCTCCTCTGGAAACATGGTGGGGGAAGGGTGCGCCTAGCTTCCTTCCTTCCTTTTTTTGATGTGTTGATGGCATTTTTTTTTTTCCTAATGAATTTCAGTTTACTGCAATGTGATTTGGCCTTACCAGGTCACTATATGAGGTAAAGCGCATCCTGTTACGTGTGTTGGGTGTTATAAGAATAAGCTAAATATGTTGAAAGAGGTGTGAGTAGATAGTATATTCATAAAGTAAGGATGGGATGCTCTGTCAGTTCTAGTCCTCTGGGAAGCAAAAGCCAAGATACAGTAACCAGTATGAGAGATATATGGGGGCTAACGGCTGTGAAAGATAAAGGCCCGAGGGGACAGGAGGAGTGGGGAGCCTTCAGTCTGTGATGCAGGTCTAACAGCTTTCAAAGGGGAGGGGAAGAGCTTCAGACTGCGGGCCCTCTGAGAATGTCTCAGCCAGCCCCCTGGGTTGTTGGTGGAAAGGCTCTGGGGTCCCCACCATGCTCGGTCATTGCCTGCGAGCTTCCAGTGAGTGAAGGCTCGGGGTGGATGCTGCGGTGGATTCCAGAGATCTGCACCTGTAGGCGCTCAGTCAACCACACCACTTCTAGCAGGTTCTTCCCAGAGGGAGATTCGAAAGGTACACCTCCACAGCTGCCATCCGTGGGCTCCAAAATGGAACAATCGGAGAAGAATAAAGAGCTCCCTGGGGCTGAATGATGACTGAAACTAGACATTCAATTGAAAGATTGAAAATTAAGGTTGAGAAAACCCCTCAAAATGTAGAATAGGTCAAACAGATTGAAAATATAAAATACATAAAATTGTAAAATGAGGCATTCAAATAGTAATCCAGGAAAGCCATTTTTTTATTAATTAAGGCTTCAGAAAAAAGGGAGGGAGATAAGAGAGAAAATTATATTACAAAGAGAAGTTCCTAGAACTGAAAACTAGGTAGAGCCTTCCCCACAATGAATTTAAAACAGACCCACACCTGGATACATCTTCATAAAATCACCGAACCCTAGGGGCGCCTGGGTGGCTCAGTCGGTTAAGCGTCCGACTTCAGCTCAGGTCACGATCTCGCGATCTCGCGGTCCTGAGTTTGAGCCCCGCATCAGGCTCTGGGCTGATGGCTCAGAGCCTGGAGCCTGCTTCTGATTCTGTGTCTCCCTCTCTCTCTGCCCCTCCCCCATTCATGCTCTGTCTCTCTCTCTGTCCCAAAAATAAATAAACGTTGAAAAAAAAATTAAAAAAAAAAACTTTTTTTTAAAAATCACCGAACACTAAAAAGAGAACATCCCCCAAAGCTTTCAGAGAGATACAACAGTTCACATGCAAGGGAAGGGGAATCAGATTGTCACCAGACTTCTAAAGAGTAAGTCTGGAGGCCTGAAAACAAAAGATACAGTGCTTTAAAGATGCTAAAGAAAATTATTTATATCCCCAGACTGGCCAATAATGATTTCAGCATGAAAGCACTCAGAAAATGTAATTTGCAAACAATTTGTCTTAATTCCTGGAGGATGTACTACTCCACATAATTGGGATAAAAAAGAAAAAGGAGGGGTGCCTCGGTTGAGCATTTGACTCTTGGTTTCAGCTCAGGTCATGATCTCATGGTTTGTGAGCTTGAAGCTTGCATCGGGCTCTGGGCTCACAGCACGGAGCTTGCCTGGGATTCTCAGTTTCCTTCTCTCTGTCTCTTTCTGCCCCTCCCATGCACGCTCACTCTGTCTCTCAAACAAATAAAACTTTAAAAAAAAAAAAAAAAAAGGAAGACATAGGATTCGAGAAACAGTCTATCCAACCAAGTTAAAACAATGATGGGAATTTTCAGGGTGACATTTGCAGCAACTCTAGAGCCCCAGTCCCCCCTGGAGCAAGAGGCCAGATGGGACCAGGAGGGAAATCTCTGTGGAATAAAATATGTGATTAAAAATGGCATTAATTGAGAATATTAATAAAAGTTTGAAATGCCAACCTCTCATCAAATAAGTAAGGGCAAAAAAGACTCAGAAAAACAAAGACTATAAGAAAAGTGCTGTGCAATAAGAGGCAATCCAAAATGTGGTGTCAATTTAGGCAAATGACATAATGGAAAAAGGGAAATCTATTTGGCTTTGACGCTAGAAAGAGCTTCTTTAAAGTGGCCCAACCCTGGCACTATAAAGCCTAGAGAAAATGAAAAGTAACCCTAATACACTGCTTTGCGAAGCAGTAGACAGTAGTTACATTGTTATACTAACGCAAACACTGTTTATTCATTTTTAAATTTCAGAGTCAATCCACAAACAAAGCAGGAATATTGGTGAAATCTCAGGACAAAATGTAATTATGAATAAATATTGGATGATGCAAAATAATATAGAGCTGATAGATGGCAGTGGGGGTAGGGGAGATATGGAAAGGAAGGGTAAGGCAGTTTTCCAAGTTGGAATGACTCAGTAGAAAATCAATGGAAACAAATAGTTTAATCATATTATTTCATGTTACAAAAGTAACCAATGGAAGAATTAAAAGTCGTATGAATACTAAATATTGGGAAGAGGATGCAAAAGGGGATGTTAATGCGAGGTAAATTTTCATTTCTTATGCATTAATTGATCATAATTATAAATGATAATAAGACTACAGCGTTATAATTATAGTACCTACACTTGTGGAAATAACTAAAGAGTTGAAAAGAGAAACAATACAAAGAGATGAAAATATATCAAGAGGTAGTTGGGGAAATACCAAGCTTTATGAATTCTTTATTATTTGATTTTTACCACACACAATCATTATTTTGATAAAAACTGAAATTAAAAACAAAACACTCAAATCTTAGATTTATTTATTTATTTATTTATTTATTTATTTATTTTATATTTTGTTCATTTATTTTTGAGGGAGAGAGAGAGAGACAGAGCATGAGCTGGGGAGGGGCAGAGAGAGAGGGAGACACAGAATCTGAAGCAGGCTCCAGGCTCCGAGTTGTCAGCACAGAGCCCAACACAGGGCTCGAACCCATGAACTGTGAGATCATGACCTGAGCCAAAGTCGGAGGCTTAACCGACTGAGCCACCCAGGAGCCCCAACACTTAAATCTTACCTTGTTTAAGGCAATAGTGGTTGCCATAGCAATATTGTATCATGTAGATTTTAAACCCTTTAGGTTTTTCGTCCCTTCAGTGGGCAGAAGATTATGTAGCTCGTATGTCCACTTCTTCCCCTCCGTCTGTCTGTCCCTCTGCCCCACCTTCCCCCACCCCCAACAATATTCCAGAATGAATAAGAAATTGGCATATTTCTTAAGGAGACACAAATAGTCACCATTTTGAACTGCCTGCTGTAATTAAATTATTATATCATGTCATAAATGAAAATGTGCAGGCATTGGCATATTGTGGGCATTAAATTTGTAGTGACAAAACAATTAGAAGAATATCCTATAGCCACTGACCTGGATATCATCCAGATCTCAAGCCTGTTTCTTATTTAGTTCTCTCTTTGGGCTTTTCAGGGCTCAGGAAAAAAAAAGTGTAGTTTTTAATCTCATTTTTGGGTCAGTAGTCAACTTGGTTAGGGAAATGGCTGTCATTGCTAACATCATCATCATAGCACATGAGAACAGCTTCTCTGTTATTCAGAAGGTCACCTTGCTTCCAACATCCTTCTACAGCATAAATGGTTAGATCCCAGAACATCTAGAGTATAAGCTTCCCTCTGGGGCATTTGAGCCACTTGAAGTATGACTAGCACGACGACAGAGAGCCTTTCCTTATATGTTGGCTTTTACAACTTTGTTAAGAGCCAGAAAGAGAATCTTTTGCCACACCTGCTACCAAGATTTAATCGTGAGAAGGACACTGGTCATTCTCTTTTAGTCGCTGTTGAGGGGCATGTCTATGTGCCTCCTGCCATGTTAGGAAATTTGCATGTATTATCGTTTAATTTTCACAACGATCCTGGGAGGCAAGGACCATTATTACAGCTGTTTTTCAAACATAAAACTGAGCCTTAGGGGAATCAAATAGGTGTTAAGTAATGGGACCAGGATTTAAAGCCTTTGTGCCAGTTCCAGATTCTAGACGGTGGTCTACTGTAAGCTTATGGTTTGAGTTTCTCTTCATTAATCTAAAAGCTCTTTACCTCAGTGATACTTTAACAAATATACTATTCTTCTCTGTTTATATCATCTTGTTTTATCCCTATAGGCTCATCCTTTAAATTTTTTTTTTTTTTTTACTGGGGCTCCTGGGTGGCTCAGTTGGTTAAGTGTCTGACCCTTGATTTTGGCTCTGGTCATGACCTCATGGTTCATGAGTTTGAGCCCCACATTAGGCTCTGTGCTGACAGTGTGGAGCCTGCTTGGGATTCTGTCTCCCCCTCTCTCTCTGCCCCTACCCCACTCATGCTCTCTCTCTCTCTCTCTCTTTCAAAATAAATAAGTAAACTTAAAACAATATTTTAAAAATGTATGTAGTAAAATTGACCAAAATAACTTCACAGGCTTTATTGCTACTATTGTTTTGTGCACTGAGAGTATATCCCTTCTGCTTTTTTCTAGCATTTTACATCACACAACCTCAACTAGAATCTGTCTTCATTTACAACTAAAACATTTCTTTGGAAGGGAAGGACTAATTCTGAATAAT